AATTTGGAGGGCAAGAGGATCCCCACTACAAAAAGAAAAATTATAGTGATTACCACAGTTCCTAGGGGTTCCTCCTTCCACATTACAACTCCACCAAAAAAAAAAGAAAAAAATATAAAGGATAGATATAGTAGCTCAAAATTACATGTATCCAATCAAAATGCATGCCCAAATAGTGTAGTATACCCATGTGAACATGTATAAAAGAGAGATTAAGTAAAGCAGTTTTTGAGCCTGAGAAAAGACAACCAAAAGGTTGGGAAAGGCTTGAAAAAGCAGTTCCAAGAGGATTCCAAACCTGCAGCTCAGAAACAGAAAAAACAGCAAAGAAATAAAAGAGGATGTAAGTGGTCAAAGTGCAAGAAACCGACACGAGAGCCCCGCAACATAGAGCCTCCAGTCCAGACAAGAGCAAAGGGAAAACCACGGCCTTTTGAGCACACAGCTCTCCAAAGAAATTACAAAATCCATTCACAGATAACAGAAAGGACAAAAGCAAATAGGAGAGATCCCCCAAACCAACCCTCGACACAATCCATTCAAAGATAAAGAGATTAAGGATCCCTGGGCCTCCCAAATGGTTCTTAATGAGGATAATAGTGGAGCCATGGGCCTCCATGCAAATAAAGTAATGTCATCCATCATATAATGTAAAAATAAGAATATAATGCTCTCTACAACAACAGACCCCCCCAATCCGAAAGGACCATAGAACTCCATTCCGTATGCAGAAAAGAAGGATATAGTAAATCGTATGACAATGCTTCCTTATTGAGTAGGCTCACATCCAAAATACCCAAACAGGAAAGCACAAAACGCCCTTTTCCAGTGTTCCGCAACAAAGCCCAGTAACATACTCTAAGCAAAATAAGCAAAAGAAAAGCTACAACCACCCTTCCGGTAATTCGGAGCCATGGGCCTCCAAGAGTTGATTTTTAAGGTGCTGAGTGGAGCAGTAATACTCATGACTCTAGAATAATGAAATAAAAGGAGCATTGCGCCTCCAATTTTAAGAACCACATATTTGCTATAAATAATATACGATGTCCAATGCCCAAATTTTCCATCACAAGAGGCAGGCAGCAACTCAATGAAAACCACAACAACAAAAAAATCAGTATCTTAAATAAGGTGAAACCATCATATCACTAAGAATAAATTTACGGAGAGGGGAAGGGGGGTAGTGCCCCCCAGAGCAGCATTTAAGCTTAATTTAGATAGCCAATCAAAAGGAACATTTCCTTCCTGATGTATGAAATTAAAGAGAATTTGAAGTTGATTTTTGGTGATCTCATGTTTTATACGTTGTAGCAAGCAAATAATATTTCCAAGCTGGCTCCGACTTGTCGATAAGGATATTATACAGACATTGTGAATCAGTCTCAATATTGACTTTTTTGAAATTTAAAGAGGCAGTAACTTTTAAAGCCAATAGCACGACGTAGCATTCAGCTTCAAGTGGTGAGGAGGCAAGAATTGGTGAGGCAAAAAAGACGCGGCACCTACCATAATTATCTCTAAACACACCACCAGCAGAAGCAACAATTTTGGACCAACTAACGTCAATATTAGCCTTCATCCATCCAGATAAAGGTGGTGACCATCTAACCAAGGTGGGCCTCTTCTTACCAACCCAGTTTGATGAAGCAATGGCGTTATTAGTTGCTCAACAACTTTATAGAAATTTGTCATGATAAAAGAGACGGGACAAGGAGGGGGGGGGGGCGAAGAGTGATGCTTATAATCATTCCTAGCAATCCAGATAAACCAAAGTACCATTACAGGAAAATAAATCATCTTAGGATGGAAGAGATGACATTCTTCGAGGCTTCAACAAAATTTTCCAGCCTAAAGATAGAAGGCCAGTGCACACCAAGTAAAGCACCCACATCACTCCAAATTTATTTTACAAAATAACATTGAAAAACCAAATGATTGGATGATTCAACTTCTCCCTTTCAAATGTTGCACACCGAGGCTAATTTTAACCCCTTTAACTTTAGCATATCATCAAGGGGCAAAAGAGAGTGAAAGTATCTCCAGAGGAAAATGGAAGTAGAAGAAGAGATTGGAGGGTGTCATATGAAAGAGCTCTATTTCCATTTAGGATAACTATAAGAACTTTTATATATCATTTTAGTAGTAGATTCCTTTGAAATGAATTTCCACCGAGGTTTATCTGCCCCACTAGTGTTTACAGGCGTAGTAGCAAAAGAAAGAGCTAAATCTCCCGCCATGGTCTTTAATAAGTCAATATTTCAAATTCTACCATTACAAACGTCAGATATCTGCATATTTGAGTTAGTGTCTGAATGAGGAAAGGTAGTAAGATCAGAGGTACCCAAATGGTCGTGCCAAAAGGAGATTTTTTCATCACTAACTTCCAAAAAAATAAACTTAGAAGCAACATTTCTAGCAGCAATAATGGCCTTCCAGAATTTAGAGTCACCAGTTTTCCAAGCCACAGTCGATGGATGGGCATTCTGACAGTATTTATAATATAAGAATTTAGCCCAAAGGAATTCCCCGACACGAAATTTAAACCAAAGCTTGCACATATTAATGTCAACAATTTGCTATAAAGTTTTGAAACCAAGGCCTTTGGAGAATTTAGGAATAGAGAACTTT